GGGGCCATTGAATGAATTTGAAAGGAATCTTGGGGATGAGAGGGGAAGAATTGTTTGAAGATCTAGAAAGGAAAAGAGTCTCTTCGCTCGATCAAGGAGTTGGATTGTGCGTGCATTGAGGAAGATCGAGGGTCAGTTTAATTACCTGTTCCACACAGCACCGCTTACACATATTGATGAAGAAAAAGGCTGGCCTTTTACAGCGTACCTCGAAGGCTTGAACGGTTCTTAGTCTCAAGCGTTATGATTGCCCTGTCCATCAAGATTGACAGCTTGAATCTAGAATTCTCAGAAACGTGCATTGTCTCCGCGGGCATACTTATGACTTAATCAGCAAAGCCTTGATATAGTGCAATATTAATTGCGCCGTTTCAATCTATATCATCACCTCTCCGAGCCCTCTCTAAACTATTTTATTTCTAGGGAGTAGACGATCTCTATCGAATTTCTTTCTTGACTAGTTACTTTTATTCTTCCCTCTTATGTCCGTAGTTGTTATCTCAGTTGTTGCGAATGACGCTTAGGTTAATGGTTATGTACCTTTACACTTTGAGCGATTGCTGTACTTTAACATGTTTGTTCTATCGTAGGTCATCGTGGTCATCCTCAACGCTGAACACATCTCGCATTATCTTTGGTCTAGATTGACTGTCATTTGCTCCTTTGGGATTTTTAACCCCACTAAATGAAATCATGCAGCTTAGATCAGAGCTCGTCAAACATCGGTTCACTAATTAAGCGTTCTGGCTTGTGTTCGAATTTGGATTTAGCTTCATAAAGTACACTAAGTCAAAAAACCGCAATGGACTTTGTATATTGAATCATATTTGCTCGCTGCCATTGAATCGAGCAATAAATTTTGATGTGTTACTTAGACATCCTAGACATGTCATATATGAAGCTAGGGGTACCGGCGTCGATTATGATTGTTATAAGAAGCGAAGCTCAAAAATTGCCTGCTTTGGCTCGAAGCAGATTTAATCAACCATGTTGAAGCCTCCTATATCTTAGATCAACTGGTATCACCTGCCATCATAAATTTTTTGATTCGTTGACGTAAATACTTTCCATTGCCTGAAGAGCCAAGATTTTCTGTCGTATTACTACTCGATGACAAAAAGTACGCGGCAAACCTCGGCAAAATCTTTCCTCTTAGTAGCGGCATAAGATCAGGAACAAGAATTACTGATACCTCGAGACAGGATAATACTTTGCTGGCGATTTAAATAATGTCGAATTGAACCAATTGTATATTGAGTTTAACTACTCTGCTTCACAGCAAGATGGTTAGGAATTATCACATCTAGATCGCCTAACGAGATCTTACTTACATGGCAATCACCCGGTGAGCCGACTTTCTGAGCTGTCCGCCACCATGGACAAGGTATTTTGCTTCATCACAAAATCGTCAACAAGGATGACTCCGTGGTATCAGAATGATTCAAAAAGGAGGAAGATTCTCGAAAAGGAAGCATTGAAACTCACAAAATTGCAGAATATGACGTATACCCCTGGTCAACATCTACATAGAATTCCTATTCGATCTCAATACCCATTCATTCCCACATCGTCTCCAACTATTGGGCAATCACAAACTCCAAGAAACCAATTTTCCAGAAAACTCACGGAGATTTCCTTCCTAGTACATGATTATATCCTCAACTAAGCATACCGTATTCACCAACCAGGGCATCCGAGACATTTTTCCAAAAAAGCATATCATCTCATCTCGGTAAAAGCTACCGTGATCTTCTTCGACAAATGCACATCCTCCGGGGCATTTCACTCGTCATTTGGGAATGATGTGGCTGGGGGAGACAGGTCCTGAAAAAGAAGCTTGGGTAGATTTCAGTACCTGGGACATGTCAGAACATCGTACGATGATTCACGGATAATGTCTCGACTTAAGAAACTCGTTTATCATATGTTGTGTTGCATTTGAAGGAGTGGAATCTTGGGGTATTAGGTGGGATTCGAGGGTGCGCGTGGGGGTCGGTATGATGTATATTGCTATGGATTTGTTTGGGCCATTGGAGGAAGTATTCGGGTGAGTTAGAGTGTCGGAGAAATTGAGGCATCTCGGAATGTTAATGGGCCACGGTTAACCCGTTGTCTTTTGCTTTTGCACAATTTTGAATTTTATCATTTGATAGCATATGTAAATTATACGTAGCAACGAGGTATCCCGGATTATTGCCAGTGCATCATGAGAGCATGGGATGAAAAATGGAGCCAGGACCCAGATCGATTGCGAACTTAATTTTACCCGCAAAAACCAGGGTTAAACATCTACGGAGTTTAGAAATTTGACAGGATACCGGGTCCTCCTCTTTTTCCCAAGCACATTGATTCATAATTCTTCACCGTTTTGCGTGCAGGACGCTTGTTGGCGAGTCAGTGCCCAGAGGTGCTGGCAGATCTTAGACCTCTGTGCGGGTTCTGAAACATATATCGCCAGAACGACAGGTAAACGTCCGTTAGACACCAGTAGTGTGGTGGGTTCTAATAGCGGTGACTTGATTCACGTTAGAAATGTTTGCAGAGGTAGTTGCCGCCACTAGAGCAAGATATTAGTAGTATCTTAATTCTCCCCAATATACCATAAACAAATTTCCGCAAGTACAAGTCTATACTACGCATAATTAATGAATAAGATCCATCTTAATGCTCCATTCGGTAGTACCTGAACATCAATTAATATCGACATATTATTCCAAGAAGAAAATAAACCTAATCCCCGAAGCTTATCCCTCACCCATTGAAAAATTCCACGTGGTGAAATTAGTGTTTCCGTTCTTCTCCCGCGATGCTTGCAAACACGTCGAGTTGTTTTGGGAACTACTTCCTGGACTTTTAATTTATGTTGATATTTGATATCATCAAAGAGGGAATACAATATTAAAGTTTGGGCATGTACTCCGTGCGTGTATTGATCAATTCAGACACGTTGTAGGGCTTAGATGAGTGTCAATGTGCTTGGCGGGTGGTTTGACCCCTTATATCCCCACCTATAGTACCTTTTCAATAACGTCCAAAGCACCTAGGTATCAATATATTAAGCATTTTATACGATTTGTCAACAACATTTGGCATTATCGAAGGATTAAACAACTTCTAGTGTACAGAAGATGTAATCGATAAATATATTGCGTGGCCTATCAAATCTCCGATGGATGTCAATATTGAAGAAGGTTCCAATGCATTCCCGTTCTGGGACCGAGAGATTTGGATCATGCTGGAATCGGGAATGAATCGTGAATTGGGCTATATCTGAGAGCTGTTATTGCCGATACAGAGGCACGACTCCTGCATTCGGGTATGGAAGCAGAGATGAAGATTACGGGGCGTCGATGGAGAGAATCTCAAACGTCGATTATCAGTGCCAATGTGTGGATAAGCAGCATGGCTTGACACGACCTCAGTGGGGACAGTTCGCGAAGGGTAGCTTGTCTATGGCTCTAAGCGATGTGTTTAAGAGATGGGATGTGCAATAGTACATACTTGTCTTGACTCTTCAGTAATAAAACCCCGACAGGTATACAGGGCTTTTGGCAAGGGATCAGGCGGATAGGAGTTAAAAAGTAAATCAAAGTGTTATGTGAATGTGGATCGCGGGGGGTTCCTTGAATTGAGAGGGTGGGTAGTGGATTCAGAGCGTTGGTGATGAAGTTTAGCTGTGTGTGACGGTTTGGCATCTCGCTGTAGTGTGTTTATAGCGCCTGGAGGCTTTAGAAGGGAAGGGACAGGCCTTGTTGGTTTAAGTCTTCTTCTTTGCGGTAAAGCTTTAAGGCCACTCCGCGAGTAAGTGTTATTGGGTTCCCGGAAACGGCGGGAATTCCTGAATTTCGAACACGCTTTGCTGTATACTCCCGCTTGTATACTTCCTGCACTGTGGAGCGAATACGCAAAATGGAGCAAATGCTACTCTAGGTCCCGGATCTTGAATTTACGAGCCCACAGGTAGGTATCTGCTGTTGGCAAATCCTGAATATGCACTGTTCGGGGTTTAGATTTCGTCACTCTTGAGTTACTAACCACACACACTGTAAAATAGAGTTAATGTCCAAGTCAGGCTTGCAGCTCGGCTGTTCACTCAAATGATCAAAGTTAGAACTTGATTTGCTTCCCAGGTTCCCCTCACATGCGCCGAAACTCTTTTACCGCACTATTGAACTTTGATATGTACGGTCAAGGACTAATGTCAATCTTTGAATCAGAAGTCCTCTAAATCGTAGATCATCGTCTAGAGTACGTATCTGTCAATCTTATTAGCGTTAACTTACTTCTCCCGCGAAGTCCCCGGTCGCAGATAATTCGAGCCATAACGGCTCTGAATACACAATGACCAGTCTGATATTCGAACACTGTAAATAACTTTACCAGACATATTTCTATGACTCCATACATCACTTCTATAGCTGATAGGTAAAAATACGAAGGGAAGATGAAGCACCGTTGCAAGTGAATCACAGAGAAGTTGGTTAATGATTTCCGAAACGGCGCAAGTTGATTACCAGTGATGGCCATAGCCACCGTTGATAGTGGGCGGATGGTCCCAGGATGCAGTAGATCGGATCTTCTTGCACTTTAGGTCATTGAGGTCTACTGTGGATTCAAATCTAGGTTCTTTCGTTCAAATGCCGTAGTAAGTTGTAACGTTTTTTGCAAAGGTGGAAGAGTGGAGAGGGAGTGGAGTGTGATGCTCCTTTTTCTTTTTATTATTTGAATTTTTCTCATGTAGAGGATGGGGAGTGGATCTTATGAAAGCTACTTTCGAGACTTGAGCGCCAGACATTGCGCACAGGATGTATGATATTATCTAGTAGAAATTTGAACATTCAGAGTCTTTGTCTTGTAGCTGTGGTTGGAACAGATTTGTAAATCAAAGATGATGGTGCGAAGTAATGATAGTCTGTAACGTTTTCTATGAATAAAGATTTGACGAAACGTGAAAAGATTTGGAAGTTCAAGATGAAGTAGAGAGATTTCCTTGTCCTTTTCAGGTAATGCTTTTGAATTGATTCCCTTACTTTTATTTTACACTATCATCTATCTATTCTCTACAGAATGGTGATGTATTTCCAAGCATCTCTTTATAAGATTTTCCGCCTTCCTATTCCTTTCTCTTTCCAGGGCAACCTCGAGACCTTGCGATCCCTTCGTCTCATCCTTGTCTTTACATTCAAATCCGTTCTCTCGTAACCTCAGAGAAACTAATAGCCATTAACGCCCATGTAAATGCGGACCGCAGATATTATCCAGCCTCCAGTGTTTCCAAACGCCTTTCATAAATATACAAATCCTCCCAAGAATAGGAAATATAGACCAAAAGGGCGGGTATCGTGATTAAGGAAAGCCATACCACACAATACCCAGATAGTTATACATTATTGACAAGTGAAAAAAAAAGACAATAGGCCATCACCGCCCGACCCCTGTAGGTAGCACTCAGACCATTGAGCCGCTCTCAAAACTGTGGCAACCTCGCTCGTGTCTCTTCATGTTACTCCTAACGCTGAAGGCTTTCCCACAGTTTTGATGTGGACACTTGAAGGGCTTCTCGCCAGTGTGCGAGTGGCTGTGAATTCGGAGACTCGATGGTCTCGAAAACGCCTTGTTGCAAGTCTGACAGATATATCTATCTTGTGACTGAGGAAATGAGGCTGCTGACGAAGGGGAGATATAATGATGGTGTTGCCACGGATTAGCACCGGATGATGGAGTCAGGGTCACAGACACTGGCATCATTGGTGGAGGGAATTGCTGTAGAGAGATTAGTTACACTACTTCTTGTGTTTTGATGATAATGATTAAACATACCTGTGGGAGTGGTCTTTGATAGTATAGTCCAGAAACTTGAGGAGATTGTGTTTGTATTGGGCTCGGGTAGTAAGAGCTCAAAGATTGGGCGCCAGGCGACATAGTGTACGATCCGTTGAACGGTGAATGACCATATTGCATTGAAGACACTGGCATTGAAACTCTTCGAGTAACAGTTTGGACTGGTTGACGTTGTGCATGAGGCTCCATGTTGTTGATGGCCGAGACTTGAGAAGGATTAAAATAATAATTTGGCGCAGGGACTACTGAATATGATGAACTAGATGCTTGAGACGGTGAATGTCTGCCGTCGAAGCCGCCATCAGATTGCATTGGAGGTGTGGGTGGAAGAGCACCTCGAGAGCTCATTGCTGAGGATGGACCGTACTGATGTCCAGACTCTGGTCTACAATCTTCCTTGAAAGCTGCTGAGGGACAAAATCAATTATTTGAAACACAGGAGAAGATCTGAGAGCACTGACCTTGTTGTGGCGATGACTGTTGCTGAGCTTGCTCTGTAGGACTCGATCCATCGGCCAAACCCAATAGACTTGAAATGGATGGTAGGGAACACTTTGAAGTTTCGTCGACGGGTGGTGAAGGTGGTGGTTGAGGGGCGTTAACGTATGTGTAGGGAGAGTGTTGAGCCATGGGATGGACTGTGTAGGGATTTGAAACCATCGATGAGGCCATTGCTTCTGGTGTGTTGTTATAATGAGAAAAGTGATGTTGGTGATTTCTTCGCTCGTGAACAAGACTGGAGAGATTCATAACCCTATATGAAGCGGATCAAGATCGAATGTGTCTAACGCCGGATATTGTAAAGTTCGAAAAGATGTTGATAAATAGGTGAATGCAAGAGATCGATGTAAGTTAATTAGATGATTACTTTGAGGGCTTTCGTATGTTTCACTGAACCGGTGGTATATTATGAAGTGATTGAACCTATTCCTTTCAAGATACGCCTGCGAATATACGGCTTTTGAAGGACGAGAGGGATCGATGGATATTTAATATCAGATCTCCCGAGGGCAATGGGTGTGGGCGATCAGCGCGAATCCACCAAAGAGATCCTGGTAGGATACCAGAGTAACACTTGCTGTCACAAATTGGGTGTGGGTCTACCTTCCGGGACTGTGACTTCAGATGCCCCAAACTTGGCACAAATAATAATACTCGATGGATGGGATGATCCGGACGACAGTCTGGCTTCATATTGGTCTACGGGATTTCGCCGCCTTTTGGTATTGCTCGACCGGTACTGCGTGCTCGATGTGGACGTGCAGGCACTGCAGTGTATGAATTTTCAGGATTGTCTAGGGTGGGTCCAGGGGGTCTCATGCCTGCAATGACCGTTACTTTCGTTATGCGCCCGCAAGTAGAGGGGATTGGAGGGGATTGGCTAGGGTAAAGATGCTTGTTTAATGCAGACAGGCGTGCCTCGGAGCATAACCCAATTTAGATGTCGTGGATCCTTCTTTCGACATAATTTTTCAGGTTCTGAAGGGTGACCCTGCCTGTCACTTCAACATGTTTGGGATTAGGTTTTTTGGCGACTTGCTAAGAAAAAGATATGAGACGAGGTGACGCGCAAACGGTGATTCCAAGTTGGGATCTGCTAGTATGAACCCTACTTTCAGTGCTCCATCGGCAAATTAGCACAGCAATGCTCTGTTGGAAATTGGAGATTCTTAAGCCTTGAACGATTAACATTAGAAGGGTTGACGATGAATTATAGTGGAGTTCTAGGGTATGACTTGAGCCCTCAAAGTTCTGACAGCTCTAGCTACAACACACCCTCAAGGCACCTAAGGCTAACCTGAGTATCGATGTGCAGATTTGTTTATAAATGTGTACAGTGCCCTCTGTGATATAACATAGCACAGTTTGGGTTATTCTGGCAACTACCGTGGCAATAACTCGGGCGATGGATCAATTTCGTGTTCTATATTTCCTTAGGTTATACGGGTATAGTTGTATATGCATGCTAGCTTTTAACTTCGCAATCTACATTTACAAACTCCCAAAGTTCCCCAACTTATCGCAAGGTACAATCGTGACATGTGCAATTATGCCACCTGTAAATCTGAAGAGTCTGTTCGCGGAATTTGCTACAATTGAAGGATCAAGTGAATCGCCGGTGCACTGTTGATACTTTGACACAATCCGTCTTTCTTGGGACGAATAAGCGTTGCAACTAACCAGTCAAAATGCAAGTCAGTTTGGAGTAAATTGGACGAGTTTCTGGAAAAGCGGCTTTCAGAGCATTCCCCTTGCTCTCTAGCACCCTTACATTTGTTCCAGCGATCGCCCACTGCTTGTCTCTGCCGGTGCTCGCTTGGAGGATGGAGGGGTCCGTGATAAAGGTTGGGATGAATGATATGATACAGGGTTTCCCCTCCGCTCATTTGAATGGAGACGAGTCTAACATTTGATTGAATACCCATGATATCGACAAAACCCTCTAAACAGCGAAGTTGCCTGTCGAGGCTTGAAGAAATATAATGTTGTGGCCAGCGCAGTGAGATTATCTTTTGTTACACGACTTGACGAAGTGCCGGTAGATATTGATCTTAATGTTACGGAACTCTTGGGGTTGCCATCCCACTGTACAGTTCCTGCAACGCTGATGATATTCTCGAGGATATTCTGGCCATGGATGGCCTACCGGCTTACGAATAGAGTTTCATCCCTGTGATGAATGTCTATCAGTAATGGGGAACGTTGTTTCTCTATCCGCCGAGAGAGTGATCGTCGCTACTTGACTTTAGACGTTGCAGGTCATATTATAATATTTTCTTCTTGTAAAATATGTCGAATATAGATAAGAGGCATCCAAATTTGAAGCTTTAATTCATAAAAACAAACTGTATGCTTTGGTGGGACCGGAGACGAATTTAACACGGTTGCAGCATGGTTTGATGACAATAAAATCTTTCAATGGCGAGACCAACTTGATTGATTGTTCATTAACAGAATGTGATGTGTTGTTCGTGTTCTATCAGTAGGTTACTGTCTAATTTCATTTTAAGGGCCTTAAGCTATCATCTTATGATTTTAGAGACATTCTAGAATGTTACCCGTGCCGTCTGAAGCCCATCTCGAATGTCTACCACTCTCTGTGGGACTTTAATGCTCCTGTCAATGAACGATAATCACTCTTTGCCCACACTTTTCCCACGCTTTTCCCACTACTACGGCCCGTGTTAACCATGTTTTTCTTTCTGTATTAGAACCTAACATGTATCGTGCCGTTAGATCATGATCATCCCGGCGCAAGGGATACAGGATTTTGCTTGAGGAGAATGAGATGTGTTGACGGTTCAAATCTCGATTTAATCTTTTTAGGTAGGGATCCTTTTTGAGCAAATAAATCGAAAAATATATTAATTGGTACAAAAGTGCTTTCGTATGAACATAAACAAATTTCGGTCTTGAAGCTTCATTGGGAATTAGATAAATATATGTTTCAAGGAGCTGAATATTTTGGGCTGAATGATCTAGGTTCATGAGGATCATTGAGCATCCTAATCTTTTGGCCATGATTCGAAGATTGGGTCAATTTGATGAATTATTGATTCATGTAGCAACGAGTGTTTTTGTTTTTAATTGATCATTATGCCAACGAGTAATGAGTATGTAGTGTGAGACATTGCAATCCGTATGAATACTGTTATTTTTGAGTTTTGGATAAGTACAAAACTCAACTTCGGAGTCGGAGTGGTACAAATATCGTAATAAGAAGATGAAGGGGCTTCGCGAAAATATTCCACTGGATATCAATCCACTAACTACTGTACGCCGACTCACCGAGATTCTTGTGGCACTGTACAGTGCACACTCGACTGTAACACATTTTTTCTTGTCACCACATTTAACCCAGTCTTTATCTTATGCCCTCGAAAGCCGATTCCTACCAATCTTCTAAGTTCTTACCCAGCAGCGCTATATCCCTAGGCACACTACCCAAACACGAGGCTCGATTGTATCCACAGCCAGCATATTGGGTTCAGTCGATTCGAATACCCCTGCTTTGCCATCATCTGGCTTGTTCCCCATTATTCTATCAGTAGGCCAGTAGGGGTAGAGATGGAGCTAAAGCTGAAAAGCGCCGTGATGATCGCTCTTGCTTCGGATAATGCAGATCTTAGTACACACACCATCGGTGGAAGGTTGGAAGTATCTTCGTATCTGACAAGCTGTATGGACCGTTAGAGGCGAGACACCAAATACATGGTAACCTTCTAAAGATTCTTCCATATCCAATTACTCAGCTGTAGTGTGACGGCATCTTATTCACTATGCATCAATTTTTTACAAGCACGACACTATTGAGGAACACCGTATTAAGGTACTGAAAAGCAGAGAACAGCCAGTATTTATTTGTTACTTTCTTATGTTTGCATGTTCGCCTAGAGAACACTGCTGCGCTAAAGTACGACCATAACGCCGCGAAGCCCCTTCATTACCCCCTCCCGGAGAAGAAACCTGGAGTAGTCTAGCAACTGCGGAGGCTGGAAAATAAAAGCATAGCCTGTCATACGGGCACAAAATGAATTCTATAGTAAAATAGAATCAATATGATCAATCAATTCGCACGATCGCGTATAATCTAGTATAATCATCATTTGAAACTCGGTAAGTTCAAGGACGTTTGGCGTTTATTTCAACTACCTACTTGCAGTTCAAACAGTCATAGAACATGATCAATTCTCCGTATCTCTATGGATTTGCCATGTTTCGGATGCTCACAAGCCCTTTTTGATATGCGGCAGATGATCTCCCGAGAAAGGCGCTCTCGCTTCTACATTGATGAAAATAGGCAAAATCCATAAGAGGTTGTTTCTTGAACGACAAGCATGAACGGGCTGAAATATGAAAAAGTATGACGAAGAGGTGACTATCCGTCTCCTTGTGCCATAACAACCAACAACTATCTTTGTCACATTGTGTACAGTACTGTGCGTACAGTGAGCGTATGGTATACGTTAGTTATTCTACAGGTATTGTTAAAGCTAATGGATATCGTATATCTTACCCTGCGGCGTAGATGCAAGTCAACTGCGAGGTGATAAGGATATCATCGTGGCTCGTGCCTATGGAAATCCTCGGAGATGATTTCTGCAAGCAGCCATCCTGGTATGTTAATTAAAGTCAGTCAATCATGGATTGGCACTGGCTTTACCAATCTTTGCCTTCCTTTGTACTGAAATGGGTAACAATTCAATACGAATGCGTAGGAAGAAAACAAATGCAGGTCCATACATACATACCTACTCTTTCACCTGCTTGGACTTGACTCAGACTCCTGAATGACATCCTTTAGCTACACATGCTTTTCATATTTTATATTCTGAGCAGTCCGAATCTAAGAGCCCAATCACTCTACTTGTCAACTTGCTCCAGGACAACGAAGAGTTACCAGACCCAAGTATAGACACGAACATTCGGTGATAACATGCCATCAATAAGAATAGATCGCAGGTATATCGTCATCGAGCATTAAGTTCATTCATTTGATTGTGATTGGTGTCAAAATTATCTCCTGCAGGGTGATCTTCGCATCCCAGTGATACTCTTTACCAAGGGCCCTAGGAAAATGGCAGCTTGTCGGTCCTTTTCAACCAAGGATTATCGTTGATGACCACATGGGGCTTTGGATTAAGCTTGCCCCGCGGTCGCCAAAAGCTACTATTCATGAACGCGTATACTTCACAGTTCGTGATTCTTAGCCGGTCAGTTCCTCATCCAGTAGTGATATGCAAAGAACGAACTACTTCAGGGAAGCGTCCCACCTATATGGCATTTTTAAAATCATATATAGGTGTCTGTATAGCCATATGTACTGCTACTCCAAACACGTAGATGTGACGAGTATTCAATCTTCAGCAAAAGCAAAAGCCTATCTGCAGTGTTTATTGAGCTGACAACTCTCAACAGTTCGATACAGGAGCAAAGGCTTCTCTGAGTCAGGAACTCTGGAGTAAGGAATGCATGCACCCGAAATAGGCAAGGTTTCCCAAAGATACGCGTTTGCACAGTGCACCTTTAGCCCCTTGATTAATATATAATGCATGTTCTCAAAAGCCTCGCAACCATCCTTTCACGATGCTAAC